CCGAGAGGGGGCTTGTGGCGCGAGAGGGGCGACATGAGCACGTGCTCCGTCTCCAAGGTGAGGGGAAGGGGAAGGGGAAGGGGAGAGATGGGGCACCCTGTGCCGTGGCTCCGGGTGAGCGGGGCGGCCTCCGGGTTCGCCTCCTGGCACTGCACCGGGCCGGGCGCCATGAGGAAGAGCGCTGAAGGAACTGCCTTGTCCCTCTGTCGCGATTTGCGGGTGCTGCCCTGATCCTCTGTGCCCAGGCTTCTGCCTGCCCTGTTCCCGGCTGCCCCGTGCTGTGTCAAATCTTGGTGGCTCTTTATCCGTGCCCTGGTGCCCGCTCGGTCCCGTTTTACCTTTGCTTTCCTCACAGCAAACAGTCAGCCCTCCTGCCCTGTTCCTCTGTCCTGTCAGCACACAAAAAGCTCTCGTACTCGAAGTAAACCTCACAGCAGTGCTGTGGCTGTAGGTGCTGCCACTTCCAGCTCAAGTTTGTTGGCATTGCCTGCTTCCACTTTGAAACACTGATTGTATCTCTCTTCGGAACTAATTTAATCGAGAAATAAAAGCAGAATTTACTCACAAGTGGTGTTAAATATCTGTTATTGCCTTGATATTTCTGAGCTGAAGGCTTTTGTCTGGCCTGTAGTTAGGGTTGGTAGTCGGCACAGGGCATTCATCAGAGTGTAAACATGTAGTGAGACTTAAAATGTTGTATCGGAATGTTTAATTTATGTCCTGTCTCTCTTGATGAGGTAATGAGCAGTAGCAGTGGTTCACAGCAGAAGGATGCATTTTATAACTGTAAGACTCCTGTCCCTTGTATTGTTTTGCACTGAATTGTCATGTGCAGCTGGATCCTTTGGTGTGGAAGTTGTTGTGCAGGTTTATTACTCTCAGGAGTAAAGGGAAGTACTTCTAAAGTGAAAACTTGGTTCAACACACACAGATTTCCCTTTAAAAAATGGCTGTTGTCTTTACGTAGGTAGTGAAATGTGTCCCACTGCCTTGCCCCTTGTGTCTTACCTTACTGTGGAATCGTTGAATGGTTTGGGTTTGAGGGGACCTTAAAGCTCATCCAGTTCCAACCCCCTGCCATGGGCAGGGACACCTTCCGCTAGACCAGGTTGCTCCAAGCCCCTGTGTCCAACCTGGCCTTGAACACTGCCAGGGATGGGGCAGCCACAACTTCTCTGGGCACCCTGTGCCAGAGCCACCCTCACAGTAAAGAATGTCTTCCTAATACCTAATCTAAATCTAACCTCTTTCAGCTTAAAGCTGTTTCT